TTGTTGAAATCAAGTGTATCGTGAATTTATATTCAGGAAGAATAAACTAGCTTTATTAAGTAAGGACTTGTGTCGCTAAAGTTTCGTCGGAACGTAGTTACGGAAAATTAATTAACAAACGGGGACGTAACAATACATACCTTTTTCAATGAGGCCTTGAACTTTCTATAAACTACATGATGCTATAATGGAACAATACTCACTCAAGGTAATAAAAAAAACAACAAAGGTTCAAGTAACGTGAAGCCGACAATATTACTAAAGCCTAATACAATAATCAAGAGGCATACACAACCTATGCCTCTTACAGGGTTATGCAACAAAATTTGTCATCACTATCACCTTTAAAATAATTACTTTTAACTCTCTTATCATGAAAAGTAAATATTTGTTAAAGATTAAATCATGAAATAAACTAAATAATAACTCCTAAACGAAACAGTCTTGTATATCCAACAATTTATAATGCTAAAAATTGGGCTTCAGTGTCCAAGGTGAGCACAGCACATAATCCCATTATATAACTTTTTGCTTAACAGCAGACAGACAGATACTGAAGAAGCCTGAAAGGAATATGCAGGACAAAGGACAAATTTGATGATGAACTTAATTTGATTGAAGCATTAATAAAACTGAAAACTGTGCATGGTAACATTATCACACTATTAAAGAGATGTGAATATTAGTATTGATGCAGTACAGGTAGATGTGGGTTAAAGACACTAACACTGCTCTATAACAGCCAGGTAAATGCTCTAACAACGAGAATATACCAACTGTAGTAATAGCTAGTAAGTTTTACTATTAAATAGTATACAGCCAGTACCATAGAATTTCACCTCCTGACTACTTTAGTCATCACAGCATTAACTGAGCAACTTAGGAAACTGAGGGTTAATTACACTCTATAAGAAGAATGTTCCAGGGTTCTGTTCTTTTGGAACTACTTCTTACAGTGCCAGTCACGCTTATTCTTATGGCTATGGTTATGCACTTTCCACTGTAACTAATTTGGGTGAAGCGAATCTTAAAACACAAAAACCTTGAAAAACTTTTAACAGACATACCACATTTAAAAGTTGTTATAGTTGCATCAAGGTCACTTGACAGGAAAGGAGCCAAATGATATTGCTTGGTCCTAGTTTCCTCAGCCATCTTTCTCTTGAAATAGCCATCAATTTCAAGATGTGGTTGAAAACTGATGAACTTTTGCCCTCTTCAAAGCTTTGTGTATTATCTTGTTAATAGTACAAGAAAATATGCTTAGCTTTATCATAATGATTTAATTATGTTGAAGGGTTTGGTTTTATAACCATATCTTTAACTTTGCAGAAGAAGATATTGGTCTGTATTGACGTGGTATATGATTTTGGTGCTTGTTTCTGTCCTAACGTTCTGCTGTGTGAGTTTTTCCACATCTGTGATGAACATCAAAGACTTCATTCTGTGATTTGTTGTGTTCTTTAGCTGTACACGATTTAATAATCTCACTATATGATTATCCTTCCTTGGAAAGGGTTGTGCCATAATCATCTAGTCCAGATGATGGCATAACACTGTTAAATGATTTGAATTCACTATGAACCAAATATATTGGTGTTAAACATCACATCTGAAGATGTAGCTTGCATTGCATCTACAGTGATGCAATACTATATTTTCACGTGCAGATTTGTCTTATAAAGTACAAATAACCCCTCTGTATGTCTACAATTCTTGAATGTGCATGCATTTCCTATTTATATCTGAAAATATGCTTTCTCAAATGTGACCCCTTCTCTGAACCCAATTTCCATACCCATAAAGAAACCAACATATCACTACTAATTTAATTTTAAGATTATTTCTCATGTGAATGGATGAAATAATAAACAGTAGACTATTTAGTTTACATTTCTGTATGTAAATTATAAATTCTAATAGAACATTTCTTTCAGCATTTTAAAATTAATTCTAAAATAAAATTTCTTGGTGTACATTTTTTAATAATATTGGAACGTTTGTAATTGAAAATTTTCAATTTTACTAGAACATTTCTACTATTAAAATTTTATTTTATTCAAATATTTCTACTTGTGATTTTTTTCATTTTTTAGACTAATTTTTTGTTCTAAAAGAATATTTCTCAAAGATGTTCTGTCTAAAATTTGTCTGAGATACAAATCAAAGTAGGGAAGATTATACTGCAGTCAAAATTCTATATAGGAGGCCCTAAATGGACAAAAATTATTTGGTGTAAGACTTTCAAACCCAATTTTAGATTCAAGTTCTGAGTGTCAGGCTTTGGCCAAAGGCAAGGAAATTCTTTTGAAGCTTGTAGGAGCTACTAACTAACCAATGTAATACTAAGATGAAAAGCAAAAAGTCATGAGCCTATAGAGAGTATTAAAACTTATTTTTACATACTGAATGCCTAACATGAATCACATCATTATGATAGATCACTGTTTAGTGTTAAGGTTTCATGCAGATGTTATTGTTAAGTATTAATATTTGTTTTTCTGCACACTGAATCTACACACTAAACATTTTTTTACATTGGTAATTATTTACAGTAGTGTACATATAGATGTCAAAGTTGCTACAGGTCCCAGAGCCCCAGGAGTCTTCCCGACTCAGATCAGTCACAACTCATGAATGATGCACTTATGAGATATATATAAAATCCATACTTTTTACATCCCAGGGGTACATCTGACAGTAATCAGTCCCAA